TTTTTTAAYTGGTTCAGGTTATTATTAAAACAAATGAAATGCACAATAGTATAAACATTAAAATATTTAACAAAATTTATGTATCTATCAAGCTCAATTATACATAATTTTAAATTATATATTAGTATTATTTATATTTGTATTAGTTAAATTAAATATAATAACATCAAATTAGTATTTTGAGTTCAGTTTCTCATGTATTTGAATTTTTTTTTATATTTTTATTGGGTAAAACACACAACATATTTTATACTTCAATCCATATTTCATAATATTAATATTTGTGCCAAATTTGTTGAAATTTCTCACACTATCAAAACAATTTTATAGTTAAAGTATGTCTTTTGTCGGGATGTATCTGACAGACTAGGCTAGCTTTGTAACAATATGTCGTCAAAGTAAAACACCAACCATCCTACGGAAACTATGGACGATGTTACTAGACAAAATGTATTAGCTGAGCTAGAGACCAAGATAGTTGTCACTAAAAACAAAAACAAAAAAAGAAAGGAAGAGGATCTTCATGGGAGAGAAGGAAGAAAGAGGAAAGAACACAAAAATCAGGAGGAAACAATTTGTAGAAGAAGACAACAGTGGAATACTCTCCCACAAGTATTTCAAGGCAACCTAATACATAGAAAAAGAGTTTCAACCCTATTGTTTTCTAGGAATTATACTCCTCTTCTCTTCTCATCCATTCTATATATATCAGACATTTGTGAGGGTTTAGACTCCCTTTCTAGGGTTTAGGTTCCCATTTAAGAGTTTAGTATTCCTTAAAATATATTTTTCCTTCTGATTCCCATTAATTTTACATGTTTTCTTCAAAACAATATTAATGAAAAATATAAGTATAAAAACATTTATGGTAATTAATAGATGAGGATATTCATAAAATAGGGTAACAATGATAGTGGAAAATAAATAAAGTTGTTATAGAATAAAGAGAGAATATAGAGCAAGAGAGAATTGAGAGATTTTGGTGTGTCTTATTTCATAGAGAACAAATGTATATATAGGATACAATAACTTGGAGAGGAGTAATAATTTGGAGAGGAAGTTATGGAATCTGTAGATTATGGAATTTTTTAATCAGCAGTTAACTCTCGTTTATTTTTAAACTCATTCAAAAATCCATCCCTTGTTTTAGTTTTGTATAAATCTTTTTAGCGAAAAAAAAAAAAAAATTGGTATACACTTAACATTAAAAAACAAAAAAAGCGTTCCAAGTAACATCCCCGATCCACATTCTCTCTGGCAAAGGGTTTAGGGGGCAAGCTTGTCCTTTCGACGAGTGATCTTGGTCCATTTTTGAGATGCATCGAGTGGGGGTATGTCACCCATGAGCGCCACTTTTTGTGTAATTGAAACAATTATGTTAGAGACGAGTGCCATTGTGTTCTGATGTTGTTGTGCACTGATTTGTATCATTTTATTTCTAAATATGTGACAACCCATTTGTATAATTGTTATGTAGTCTCTCCTTGATTAAAGGGACTCAGTTTTGTTAAACCAACCCATTTGTGATCATGTGATTGTGTCTAATACATGCATTTTTTATAGCAATAGAATGAAAAATATACTTCATTTCTTCGGATAGAGATCTGGTATGAAACAGCCAAGAACTCGAAAGATTGAAGAAGATTTGTATTTCATCTTCGGGTAAAAGATTAATCCCTCGAATCAAATCCGAATGGGACCAATGAAAGCTTTACACTGTCAACCCCATAGCTACTCCAAGAATCAAACAATGGAGAACACATATTAACTTGCTTCATATGCTCATATGATCCTCCCTTGGCAAGCTCTGAACCGTATCTGACCATCTCCCAGGCGAATGATCGCTGCTGTTATACGAGACCGGTGCTGCTTCGGCCCTTGCAACCTTCACCATCTCCAATACCTCTCTCATCACAGGCCGGTTTCCAGGCTGAATAGCCACGCAATTCGTCGCGATGCTCAAAAGAGCCTGAAGTTTATCCTCACAAGAATTCACCTCCTCCCCTGATTCAGTCTCTTCCTCCCTCACCGCACGCACCCATCTAGTGATATCAGACCCGTATCGATGAACAAGGTCCTGGAATGAAGTTCTACCGGTTAGAAGCTCTAGAAGGAGGACTCCAAAGCTATAGACATCAGCAGATTGTGTCGAGGACTTGCGTAAGTCTCTACACTCCGGAGCTTTGTAAAAGAGAGAAGCTGCACTTGTGTCTTCAACTGAGTCAAGATCATGGAGATCACTGAGACCGTAGTCCGTGAGACACGACTCAAAATCAGGACCTAACAAAACATTAGATGATTTCAAATTCCCATGCGTCAAGCCAGGATTCTGATGTATGTACACCAGTCCCATAGCCAAATCCTCTGCTATTTTCAGACATGATGTCCAGTGAAGAGGCTTCCCACTCCCAGATACCTTACTTCCTACAAACAAGAACACACATTCATAAGAGAGAACCAGAGTCCATAGGTTGTGTTTGTGTACAATACATACCATGGATAAGAGAGAAGAGACTTCCATTGGGGAAGTAATCGTAGACGAGCAAGCATTCTTCTTTGGCTTGGAAATAAGCTCTAAGAGGCACTAGATAAGGATGCTTGAGCCTACCAAGTATCTCAATGTGTCTCTTGAACTCCTCCATTCGAGTAAACCCCGCGTCTTTAAGCCTCTTAACAGTGACGATGAAACCAGACTCCATCACTGCCTTATAAGTACTCCCTAACGTTCCTCTTCCCAATGTTTCAGCCGAAGCTTTGAGTAGATCATTCATGGTGTATCTCACCACCTTAATGCCTGGTTCACATCTTCCCAAGAAAACAAGAGTCCCCACTGATCTTCCTTCTTCACTTCCTCTCTCCCATGAGAACCTTTTATTTCTCCGGTCTTGACTGGTTCCTCCTTCTGACTCCGCCACAGCTTTGCTTCTCCTCTGTTCTCTCGTAGACTTGATTCTCCGGCGTCTCCATAGCAGAAGCAATATCACAAGAAGCATCAAGACTCCACCACCTATGCTTCCGACAATGATTTCGTCGATGAGCTTTGTTTTGTTGGTGCGCGTCTGCATTGTAGGAACTGACAACGGCCTCGGAGAAATTCCGACAGTGACATTCCCTTTTCCGCAAGAGTTTTGAAACTGATCGCCGCAGAGACCAACGTTGCCGGAAAACGACGACTGATTAAACTGATTAAGCACTCTTGTAAGTGGGATTTGGCCAGAGAGGTGATTATTAGAGACATTGAAGAATCTGAGAGTTGATTGGTTAAGAGAAGGAACAGAGCCAGAGAAGAGATTGTCTTGCAAGTAAAGCATGTAAAGGCGGGAAAGTCGAAGCAACGAGCTAGGGATCTTGCCGGAAAACCGATTTCCGGCAAGAACAACGGTTTTTAATCGGTGTAGAGACGTCAGTGATTCAGGAAACTCACCGGAGAAGTTGTTATCGTTGAGAAATATCGATTTGAGGTTGACCAAACCAGAGAGATTAGGTATTGAAGCAGAGAGAGAGTTGCCTTTGAAACTAAGAACCCTAAGTTGATCCAACTGATTCAAGCTCTTCTTGTCGAGTGAGCCAGTGAGGTTTAGATCTTCAAGAACAAGCTTTGAGACTCTTGTTCCATTAATGCATTCTTTAACTCCTTTCCAGTTGCAGAAATCTGTTCCTTGCCAATGAATCAAGTTTGATGGATCGATGGATGATTTTAAACTTAGTAGGGCTTCAAGATCGCTTGATCTCACCGGAGAAATCAAGTAGAAAGCTATCATCATCACCAAGAACAACATGTAG